GAGGGAACTTGGCTATTGTCAGGTCCATCCCCACCCCAAGGCACAAGTGGGAAAATGAGGCTAAGGGAATGACTCCCGAGCAGGAGCTGATACGGGCCCTGAGGAGAGGGGGAGGGGAGGATGGCTTTTGACAAAATATATGATTCCCTGTATACTGCTCTTGGAATTCCCAACCACTGACAACCCAGAAGGACAAAGAACTCCAGTCCGGGAGGCAGAGGGACTGGGTCCATGCAGGGGCGAGGGCAGGAGCTTAGTCTGGAGTCAGCCGGGCCAGGCAGTTGGGGGTCTTGGGCCGCTGTGGCTTCCTGTCCTCAGTGATCACATGTGAATGGACAGGGTCTCCATGCAGCCCCAGCCTATGCCAAGCCCTTCCCCCTCTTTGCCCAGTGCTCAATAGATTGTCTGGGTCCCCACGTGTGGCTCCTGAGGTCATGCTGCCCTCGTGCTGGTACAGTACTGAGGACTGCCAGGCCCAGTTGGCACAGGCCCAGATCGGGGGCTGGGCCGCGTCACCCTGAGGCATCTTGTCTGTGTCCTGCCAGCCTGTCTCTGCCCCACTGAGGGAAGGGTGTAGCTGGGAGAGTCAGCTTCCTAGGAGAGGAGAGTAAGTTGGAACTGGGGCTGAGAGGACTTGGGTAAGGATGGAGAGGGGGGCCCTGGCCATGGGCTGCAGCCCCCTAAACCTGAGTGGTGCTGTCCCTCCCTGGAGGAACGGAGGCAGCCGGTGCCCTCGGGGAGGCAGGGCGTCCCTCCAGGCCCCCCCATATTCTGGGTAGTGGGCGGAGGGAGTGGAGAGTCCCCCCTGCCTTCGTCTGGTGCGGCCTGGAGAGGGGTCTACCTCTCGCAGGGGTGAGAAGAAGCCTCTAGAAAGACCTCAGAGAAGCACCCAGTTCCCTCAGGGCCGCAGATGGGAGCTTGCTACCAAGAAGGACTGCCTGAGGCGAAAATCCCATTTGCCATCCTGTCTCAGACCACCAAGGGAGCCTCATCTAGCCTCAGGCCACAGGCCCCAGCTGTTCCCTGTCAGCAGGGTCCAAAAGGAACCCCAAAGTTCTTTGGTCAGCTTCACACCCCCCTCCCCACCCTCGCCCAACCATCAGCTCCAAGCAGGGCCACCCAGTGGGGTCCACAGTCACTCCATACAACCCAGGTCTCCAAACCAGGACCAAAGATCATTGTCTGGTAAGAAAGGTTTCCGTTTTGGTGTCTGACTTTCTCCTCAGCCAGTCCTCGCACCCTCATCCCCAGCACCCTGCTGGCAACCCGTCCCTATCATCCCTCCTTCCTGAGCTCGTACAGCCACTGGCCCAGTGTGCCTCTTGGGACTGTGGAGGGTGGCTGGCCTTCCATCCACGGGACACGGAAACTGAAAGCTGGGGATTCCCCAAAAAGCAGCCATAGATTTGCTCGCTCGTTAAACGGAAGTGGAATCACAGAAACTAGGGAAGGGAAAACAAGTCTTCAAAGGAGAAATTTGGCTTTAATGACACCATTAGTCATTCATTTTTTTAATTAGGAAAAGCTCCCTAATGAGGTGTTTTTGCCAGCTAATAGGACTCTCCATTTCCACCAGGACCTTTCTTACTCAGAGGATTAGGGGAGTCATTGCTCACCTAACCCAGATCTTCCTCCAGGGTCCAATTTCGTTTTCAAAGAATGCAGATTCCTGGGTGCAGTGGAAGCCCTTTCCTGGCATCCTTCATGTTGCTCCCAGGGCTGGCCAAAAAGCACCAATACTCCTCTGCCTTAAAAAAACGGTGCCCATCCCTGAATTTCCGCACCCCCCCAAAGGACTTGAGTAAGTGGGAAACAAAAGGAAACACAAGCTGCAATGTTTGTTTCTAAATATTTTTGTATTGTGTACATTCTGTATATTTTTGTTGTAACATATTATTTGAACACAGATTCCATTAAAGATTTTTTTTTTTTTTAAAGCCATCGGTGACTCAGGAAGTGACCTGAAGGGCTAGCACCGGAGCCTGTTTTGTCTCTGTCTGGGTCGGGGAGGTGGGAGGCGGCACATACAACACAGCTCCGGGGGTCGGTGCTTGGTGCTGGTGCTTCCAGCTCGGTGGTTCTTAACCGTTCTTGAATTACTGAACTCTTTTGAGTGGTTGATGGAAGCTGTGTTTTCTCTTGCTCTGAAAATGCATGGAGAGACAATGTGGAGGGGGGAGGTGGTGTGTGAATAAGGAAACTGGTCCGTGGTTTCAGGTCAAGAACTTCTGTGCCCGCTGTCCTGCCTGGCACCCCGTCTTCCTCTCCTCCTCTTACCCTATACTCTGACGGGAGATTAATATTTTGACTACTACTATTGGAGTGATCTTTGAAATATCTAGGCGCTTCCTTCTTTACCCCAATAGTCTATTCTTTAGGTCTTTCTAGGGGCAGTCAACACCTGGATCTTGAGGAAGGGATAGGAATTTTCTCAGGGTGAGAGGACATGGTTCACATACAGAAGGGGAGAGTGAGAGGGGCATAAATGGTAAAGTGTAGTGCTGGGTAAGTTTAATAATCAAATGGGCTTTGAATGGATGCAGTCTGAGAATTCAGTGAAGTGTTTTCTCCAGCTTTTCTAAACAGATGGCAGTATACACAGATTTGCCATTCATAACTGTTAAATTTTGTTGGGGGATTAAACGACCCTGTTAAATTCAGCATGGGAGCTGTTTCCCATAATGTTCTGTCACATCAGTTTCCTGTAGGTCATTGAAAAACATTTCTAAAAGCTGCAGAAGGCATCCCAGAACAAACTTGAGAGTAGAGCTCAGACTCAAGGTCAAAGAACTCATTTCTGTTTCCTGTGTGGATAAATAACTCCCCTGGAGGGAAAATCAGGACACTGTCTGAACCCCAGTGTACCCCCCAGTCAGTTCCAGGCTCCATAGCCGGGGCGCTTACTGGCAAGCCCCCTGGACAGCCAGAAGCTGTTTAGCTTTGGCCTCCTATCACTTCTCCCTTGACTTTTCTGGTTCCTCCCTCCTACCAGAGTCTCATTCTTCCAATAACTTTGTGAGACATCTACCGGTGATAAGTAACTATGAAGACAGTTTACTGATGACTTAGTATGTGCTGGGCACTGCACGAGCCATTTTCCACAGATTATCCTCATTTAGTGCACAGCTACTCGGTGTGAAGTGGGTATCAATATGCTCATATTTATATGAGGGGCAGGCTTAGGGAAGTGTGGTGACTCCCGGGTACCTTATGGCATAGATGGATTCCCACTGTGGTTCCCGAGTTCATGCTGTCACTCCTCGGCTGTTTGTGTGGGACTTTAAGAGCACGAAACCCGTGGAAGGGCCAGGGCGTTCGTTTCAAGATCCAGTCTCACTGCATTAGTCACAGTAATGGACCTTGGAATATTCATTCCGTGCTCACTTGATAGGATTTCTGCTTTATCAGCCATCCTCAAATAGTTTACAAGAAAATCCACAGCTATGAATTCATTGTCACTCCCTATCACCGCCAACTTCCGGAATCTAGCATTTATGCAAGCTCAGAATGATTTGAAGTCTGTGACACATTCAGGAAGTTTAGCAGTTGCAGAGCTCTCCAGCTCTCTTAGCCCTCCAAATGGAAAGACTTCATCGATGCCGGGCTTTGGGGGGGGAGGGGGGGTGGGAATCTCCATGACTGAGAAGACACATGGCTGGGAAAATGTGGTCCTCATCTTACTTCCCAGATGCCAGCAGGCTTTCCTAGCATCCGGTATAGTGCACCTCTGGTAAAGGACAGGCATTCTGTCACGGTTAATAATGAATGAGAGTGAAGGGAAGGGACTTGGGTTATTGAGTTCTATGGGTGTAACTTCCCTGGACAATGAATAAAACATTGTGATGGAAATTGCCCTCACACCCTGCCTGATGCCTCCTGCAAGGTGCAGAAAGGTGTATTCCAGCAGGTGATGTGACTCTCTTCAACAAATTCCTTAGTGCAAGTATAATCTCCCCCTAAACTTGTTGCGCCTTAATAAAAATGTCAGACTTGAGAATGGAGCTAGTTAAATAAAAATGACTCTGCTGATGAGAAGCTAAGTTGGGTTATTATTATTACAAATATAATTACAATTAAACAGGCCATTTTTGATACATGACAAACATATATTTCCTCTGTAGAGCACACAAGCAATACATAAATGTATTCCACACGTGAACAAATCCTTTTTAAAACTTTAAAAACGAATACATTAGCTTATTAAAATTTGAGTACAGTACATGTTTCTGGTCATGAGCTCTTTGGGTTTCTTCTCATGGCCAACAAGATACTTGATTCCATGTCACCATTTTCCTTGCCTAGAATAGTGATAGTTTGTCATAGGCTTGTAATAAGACAGTATGGCACACAACTATGTACTGTAGTGACCCTGCATCACACAATATATATGTAGAAGTACACATAAGGAATAGCTAACTATACCTTGACTATATCCATAAATGGCTTGAAGCAGGTAATACATTTACTTTAAAATGCCATTTACATCATGGACTGTTGAACGATACGTGAATCTGAAAACGAAAAATATGTTTTTTAGACTCCAAGTGTTGGTGTCCTAATGTTGTCTATTAAAAAAATTGATTTCTAAATGAGTAACCAAGTACATTAGAAAAAGCCAGGTTCAAGGGCAGGTTCAATAAGCCTTTGAATTGCTTATTTCCCATGGTCATCCTGAATTTAATGCTATAAAAAATGCTATTTGGATTTTGTTTTCTACATTGCCTACAATCCAAGTTATTAAAATTTAAAACCATATGAGAGCCTTTATGAAGATCTTGAGAGTACAGCTGAATTGTATTTCTCATTAAAGGAAAAGAAATGGCTTGGTGAGTCATGTCCCCAGACTTCTGTAGAAGAGAAAGCATCAGGCCATTGTCAGTCATTTTCAAAGTTAAAACTCAGAACTTATGTATGAGTTTAGGAGAGGATTTTTATGGGCTTGTGTTCCTCTGAGCATCCTGAAGGCAGTGAGAATAAGACTCTGATCTTCTAACCAAAAATCATTATTAAATGGATTTATTAAAGAGCGTTGCAGAACAAACTGCCGTCATGTGTGTAGCTACAATTGGCTTCCATGGGAATTATAAATGGCTCCATTTTCAACTGATTCGGAGTAAAACAATATGAGGCTTATAACAAATATACAAAAAACTAAAATCAATAAGTAACTCTGATATGAAGAATCTGTTTGCATTCTTTATGTTACAGTTTGCTTGTAGAATTTGTGTACTTTGCTTCTTTTTTAACACTGTTGGAAAACTCCAGCATTTTCAACAGAAAAACAGAAAAGAAAATACAGGCTCTTGGCAGGTACCTGTGAACAAATGAATGAAGAAAGGGGCTGGCGGCCACTTCTGCAGTAGCTTTCTGTCAGAGATGATGTTTTGTCTTGAAGCTAGTGTATCTATTTTTAAAGCTCATTTAATTTCTTAAACAGTCATGATTTGTGTACTGACTTAACTTTGTCATCCATGCCATAATCAGACAAAAAAAAATCTATCCAAGCACCCACAGGATGCACAGATCTGTCTCTGAAATGGTGTCGCAGCGCTAATCTGTCCTGAGACTAGGAGGACTTTTTTTTTTTTAAAGAAGCTATAGTATATTGAGAAAGGAGTATCACAATTTTTCTGGGAGGAAAAATTGCTAAATACTGCAGCCAACTCCTCAGAGAAGCCACAAAATGACCTTTCAAGATTTTTGAGCATCAACCCCCCGAGGCCTAGAATTTATGGGGCCAGCAGCGTCCTAAAATTCCACGACTCTAACACACATCTAAGACTCAGTGAAAATGGTCCTCGGATTTTTAGGTCTAAGTAAGTTAAATTTTAAAAGTACGAAATGAAGAAATCTAGAATGTGTCTGAAATAATCTTCAGTAGCAATCCTATGACAATTACAACAACCGCAGTTTCAAACACCAAGGCTGATATGTACAACTTCACAACACAATGATCTCAAAACATGTGATCAAAAACTTTGGACAAGAGCTTCTTTCATAAATTCTTCAAGGACAGCCACCACGTTTTTGGCTTCAGGCATTTCTTCGTGTTCCACTTTAACAATCTTCAAAAGGATATCTCCACTACCACAGTTCTTCAGGAACATGTAACATTTAAACAAAGCGTAATGATTCATTTCTGCCTGTCGGATAAATCTCTTCAAATTATTTGTGTCTTGTATGGCCTAGAAAAAGATTACCCAGTTAAGTATGTGTTTAGTGAGATAATAACGAAGCCTGAGAAATATCTCCTATCCAGCTGAGAGCTTGACATACGTTGCCGAGATGTTTGCTTTTTATTTTAAACATTTCCATCGTTCTTATTGCTAATATGCTTTGCCCTTGGGAGAACACAATTTCTTACATAAAGTAAAAATATTTTTAAAATCTGCAAAATAAAGTAACAATGCTCCTCCCCATCAGAATTTTGAAACCTTAGGCACCGAACCATTGTTTTTGGTGCTTTCCAACTAAAATACATCACAAATTAGAAGACTAATGTCCCTGAGATACAAGCAAGCACTCAACCCAATTAATTGGAACTGCAATGATATATATGCAGAAGCTCCTGGAAAATATAAATAAAGTAAATGCCTTCTGGGGATTCTAGTTTTGAGAACGTCCTATTTAATAGACATCACAGCTGTAAAGCAGATTTGTTACTCTGTCACTGGTACTAACTAAAATTCAGACAAAAATGATATGATGATATTTGGCACATAGCCAATTAATTACCTTTAATTTAAAGTTCTCCAGTACTTGTCGAAAAAGAAAAGGGTTACCTCCTTCAGTGCCGTTCAAAAAAGCCTGCATCCAGTCCTCACAAAACCGGTTGCTTCCTATGAAGTATTTTAGAAAAAAATAAAATAAAACCGAAATCCTACAAAGCATAAGACATTCTTTCTAATCCTACAAAGCATAAGATTTATTCTTTCTATTCATTATTTATTTATTTTTAACTGAAGTGTAATTGACACTTCATAGTTTGTTAGTTTCAGGTATACATCACCTGTATCCATTGTGATTTTCCTTCTTGGTCAAAACACTTATAGTGAATTATTTTCAAGATTTATTTATTTAGGGGCGCCTGGGTGGCTCAGTCGTTAAGCGTCTGCCTTCAGTTCAGGTCATGATCCCAGCCAGGGTCCTGGGATTGAGCCCTGCATCGGGCTCCCTGCTCGGTGGGAAGCCTGCTTCTCCCTCTCCTACTCCCCCTGCTTGTGTTCCCTCTCTCGCTGTCTCTCTCTCTCTGTCAAATAAATAATAAATAATAAGAAAAAAAAAAGATTTACTTGAGAGAGAGACAGAGAAAGAGCAAGCATGCACAAGTGGGGGGAGGGGCAGAGCGAGAGGAAGAGAATCTCAAGCGGACTCCCCACTGAGCGAGGAGCCAGACACGGGGCTTGATCTCACGACCCTGAGATCATGCCCTGAGCCAAAATCAAGCGTCGGATGCTCAGCCGACTGAGCCACCCAAGCGCCCCACGTGTAGTGAATTATTTAAGACTTTCTATAATGGTCTAAAAAAATAGTCGGCTCACCACCTGGCTAAGAAATACCAAATGGCTGAAGCCCTGAGTATGTCTTCCCCATCACATCCCCCTCCTTTCCCATCAGAAAGGATTATTGTTCCCACGTATTTCTTTCAACTTTTGTCACATACTTTTCTTTTTTAATCTCTAAGGCCTATATAGTATTACTTTACATATGTTAAAACTTTTTCTTTAATGGCTCTTCCACTAAATAGTATGGTTCTGAGCTAGTTCGTGCATTTTCACTGCTATGTAGGGCTCCACTGTATGAATATAGCAGTTTTTCAGTTTTCCTGATAGACATTTGCTTCCATTCTTTGCTATTTCAAACAATGCCTTTATGAATATTTCTGTACTTGTCTCCTTATGTACACATACAAGAATTTCTCTATATACATAGGAGTGGAATTGCTAGGCATGATGGGATTTCCATGGTTCTAGAATTTATACTATTTTTGGTGAGTGTGAGATAAACAGAGACAAGTGTACAAGGCTGGAAGGCTAACTTTGTCTCATGTGTTCTTGGTGCAAAAATAGAGACTCCCACCAGGAAGGCTGCCTCGGGCTGTGGCTCACCTGCATTGTAGAACTGAGGCTGGGAGCCGCTGCAATCGATGACCACGGATTTATGTGGCTCCTCAGTCATGGCCATGCACAAGGACGTCATGGTGCCTTCGTGAATAAGGCCTTGAAGACTGGCCACACTCAGAAACCTGCCACACACACAGGTTCTTTTCCACAAACAGTATTGCAGGGTAGGAGGGAGAAAGCAAATTCATTCTGCACTGGGTGGGGGGTTTGAAAACGTAGTATCAGGCTTGCTGTGAAAAAGAAAAACTCTTCTTTACCTGTTAATGTCTCTCTTTGTTTTTTCATCTGATTCTTTAACTTCAACAGGAGTATAACTCAGAGCCTATGAGAGAAAAATAAAGCCTAATTGATACAGGGATTCTAGTTTTCCTTATTGAGCAGATACTCAACAGTAAACGTCAGCTTCCCCAATAAACACCACACTGGACCATTCTAGATGGGCACTACCCAGAGCCTTGTTCATCAGGTGCCCACTGACAGCCTAAAACCTGGCTTTACCACCCTGGTCTCATGGGACCATCCAGTTACAGCTGAATTTACCCACCACATATTTAAATAAAAGCCTGGCCATATACTCTAGGTTTCCCCCATTGTCTGGGTATTTTCGTGAATTTTTCATTTTTTATCTGGACTTTTTTTTTAAAGTAGTCTCTACCCACAATGTGGGGCTTGAATTTACGACCCCAAGATCAAGAGTTGCATGCTTTACAGACTGGGCCAGCCAGGCGCCCCTATCTGGACTTTTTATATAGTGAAAATCACTTTGGGATTTTTGTTTTCCTTCTCAAATTGTTTTGGAAATTGTGCCTCTCCCAGATCACTTCAAAAATATTATTTTAAAATGTTTTATCCTGGGGTGCCTGGCTGGCTCAGTCAGTTAAGGGTCAGACTCTTGATCTTAGCTCAGGTCTTGATCTCAGGGTTATGAGTTTAAGCCCCACTCAAGCTGGGCATAGAGGCTACTTAAAAAAAATAATAATGTTTTATCCTATTAGGAAGATTTAGTATTTGCAATTCTACCTGAGTAGTGGAACTTTCTAGATCTCAGTAAACAGAGTGTGGTCTACTCTGATTGCAAGCATAGTTTGAATGAATATTCAGCAGGGGAGGGGGGAGTAGTGTTCAGAGAAAGTGAGTATGTCTTCAAATAATCCAAACTCTGCCAAAGTGACTCTCAATTAAAGAAATGCTTTTGTTTGGGCAATACTTACAGCATGTAGCAGAAAGGTAAGCTTCTCCTGAAAGAGAAGAACCACCCTTTGGATTGGGCATACAACATCCTCAAACCAGCTGCTCAGGTAGGATTTTATGTGGTTCTCCAGGCCCCTTTCCTAGATCAAGAAAGAATGTCACCTGCTTTAATGTAAGCCTTCTCTTTAGTGGACTTAACATTTTCTTCATGATATTCTTGACAGTGCAAAGAACTCAAGATGGGGTGCCGGGGTGGCTCAGTTGGTTGAGGGTCTGCCTTCGGCTCAGGTCATGATCCCAGGGTCCTGGGATCTCGCCCCTCGTTGGGCTCCCTGCTCAGTGGGGAGTTTGCTTCTCCCTCTGCCTCTGCCTCTGCTCATGCTCTCTCTCTCTCTCAAATAAATAAATACTTTTTTTTTTAAGATTTTATTTATTTATTTGACAGAGAGAGACACAGCGAGAGAGGGAACACAAGCAGGGGGAGTGGGAGAGGGAGAAGCAGGCTCCCCGCAGAGCAGGGAGCCCGATGCGGGACTCGATCCCAGGACCCCGGGACCATGACCTGAGCCGAAGGCAGTCGCTCAGCCAACTGAGCCACCCAGGCGCCCAATAAATAAAATCTTAAAAAAAAAACCAAAAAACTGAGGATAGATACCTCCTTTTTTTAAGCTAACACCACCAACTCAGATAAGGAATTGTGATACAACTTTCCTGAGCACAGTGGGGAATAATTCTGTACTGAATTTCTTTTTTTTTTTTTTTTAAGATTTTATTTATTTATTTGACAGAGAGAGACAGCAAGAGAGGCAACACAAGCAGGGGGAGTGGGAGAGGGAGAAGCAGACTTCCCGCTGAGCAGGGAGCCTAACGCGGGGCTTGATTCCAGGACCCTGGGATCATGACCTGAGCCGAAGGCAGACGCTTAACTGTCTGAGCCACCCAGGTGCCCCTGTATGGAATTTCTTAAAAAAACACTTAGAAATGTATTACATAAAATAAAGAGACCGAATTAGTAGGGTTCCATGCTATTTCTTTGCTGGGAGAAGTTGGGCATTTACATGTCCATCTTCTCCTACCATACTGTGTATACTCAGAGATTTTTTCTTTAAGTTTTTTTTTTTTTTTTTTAAGATTTTATTTGACAGAGACAGTGAGAGAGGGAACACAAGCAGGGGGAGGGGGAGTGGGAGAGGGAGAAGCAGGCTTCCTGCCGAGCAGGGAGCCCAATGCGGGGCTCGATCCCAGGACCCTGAGATCATGACCCGAGCCGAAGGCAGACGCTTAACGACTGAGCCACCCAGGCACCGCAAGATTTTCTTTTTAAGTGATCTTTACCCTTAAAGTGGGGATCAAACTCACAACCCCGAGATCAAGAGTTGTGTGCTCTACCAACTGAGCCAGCCAGGTGCCCCAGGAGATAGTCTCTTAATAATCCTTGTCACCCCAGCACTTGGCAGTGCCTGAAACATCCATGCATGAGCTTATAGAGCGCCTGCTGAATGGCTGAAGAGTGAGACAGCTCACTCACATTCAGATAGGATCAGAGAAGGACACACACTAATTCATCAAAGCCCTCAAGCCCACTCCAGCTGTCAGACTGCTGCCATGAGCGCTGGCCATGAGCACATCTGGCTTTTTAGACTGTGCTGCTCACTGGGGACTACTGCAAGAGCTCCGCTCTGGGAGAGCAGCTCCCCCTAGACCCATTTCCTTGGCTTACTCCTATGCTAGCCTTTCCTCTCCTGCAGGATCTTGTAAGCACATGACAAGTAAAAGGAATTGGTACCACATGTAATGGGTAGTAAAGTTAGAAGAGTTATAACTTTTAACAACTACTATACAGTGAAGTGTAGTTTTTTAAAGATATAGATAATTTAATCAATATGGATAAATCTAGTTCGTAAAAGATCGACTAATAAAAAATGGAATTTTTCGGGGCGCCTGGGTGGCTCAGTCATTAAGTGTCTGCCTTCAGTTCAGGTCATGATCCCAGGGTCCTGGGATCGAGCCCCATGTCAGGTTCCCTGCTCAGCGGGGAGTCTGCTTCTCCCTCTCCCACTCCCCCTGCTTGTGTTCCCTCTCTGGCTGTGTCCCTCTGTCAAATAAATAAGTAAAATCTTTAAAAAATAAAAAAAAGGGGGGCGCCTGGGTGGCTCAGTTGTTGAGCATCTGCCTTTGGCTCAGGTCATGATCTCAGGGTCCTGGGATCGAGCCCTGCATCGGGCTCCCTGCTTGGCGGGAGGCCTGCTTCTCCCTTTCCCACTCCCCCTGCTTGTGTTCCTTCTCTCTCTGTGTCTCTCTCTGTCAAATAAATAAATAAAATTTTTAAAAAATAAATAAAAAATTAAAAAAGACTAAAAAAATAAAAAATGTGAATTTTTCTACAAATCTTTGATGTTGAGTTCAAGGACAGTCATACCATTGTATAGCATGTCTTTGGTGCCAGAGGCTTCACGGACATTAGTTCTGACCAGCACATAAGTCTTATGTGCCTAGAAATCTGGAAAAGAGTATCTTCTTCTTCACTTGGCATATTACCATGTACCCTGAATTCAGTGGATTCAATTTTTCATGGATACAAAACATCAGAAGCAGTCTTGTGAAACTTAGAGCACTTATAGGACTATGTTCCCTGCTTCCCTGAACAGGCACCTTCCTATTAGCCCACAAAGCAGTATTTTTAGCATTTGGGTGTCTTTGTGTCTACCTGTGTGATTTCATAAGCATAGCAATTACAGTGTGTTTATCATCTCAGTCTTACCAATTAAATCGATCATCTTACCTCACAGCTCATGTTATTTTTCAGCCCTTGAATATACTTGTCCAATTCAAGCCTGAAAGTACGTTCTTAAGGAAGCAATAAAGGATGCATCAAGACAGTGTTTTATCTCTCAATAGGAAACATAAAATCTCTCAGATGCAAACTTTAAATTAAGACATGCCAGGACAAACTGGTTGTATGAAGGTATGAAATGAAGTAAATATAGAAGGGGTAGAAAAGCTCTTTGGAGGTCGGTAGTAATACTCCTCCACTTAGCATCCCATGGTTTCCTTCCTGATATCCTCGAAGATCAAAGAAAGGATATAGCTCAAGTCCTTTTTCAGACCCTCCTAAAAAACAGACCACATACTCCGAAGCGTTATGTTCAGAGTCCACTGTTGCTGCTTCAGGAAGCAGTTTTTCTTGTTGGAAAAGACAGTAATAACAACCGACCCGGGATTCTGGAATCCTAGAAAAGACAAGACAGTAAAATGTATTATTTTGCTAAGTCATGTGTCTAGTTTTATGGACTGCTGCAAACCTTGGTCATCTTCATCTGACAATACTGTTAAGATTGCAAACTAGGTCAGAACTTCCTAGACTTCTCCTTGGTTTACTTGTAATAGCAGAGGAAAATTACCATGTACCGTTATGGGCTTTTGCAAAAGCAGCACCTAGAATTTCAAACGTGGCATTTCTTTGAGTTCTCTTCTCTTAGTGAAAAACTCATGCAAATTTTATTCTTGTTCATAGTATATCCACGTTTACATAAATATAAACATGTTCTCTTTCTCCCCCCCAAACTTCACGAATCACTGAAGCTCCAGGCAGATGTGACATGTTAATCCTGGGGCTTTATCTTTGGGCTGTGGCTTCATACTCCTGAGGGGACTTGATGGCAAAATCATAGTCTAAAGTGAACTACAATCAAGGGGTGTAATGGAAAGATGGCTGGAAGTCAACAGAGGACACCTATGATTAAGCCTGCACTCCATCAATATGACCAGCTGTGTGACCTCAATGTCTTTGAGTTTATTTGCTCATCTGAAAATGGAAGTAAGAGTATCTGCTCTATTGCCTCTTTGTAGCGAGCAGTTTGGGAAAGCACTTTACAAACTGTATACACTTTTAGTTTTGGTAATTAACTCTTTTCTTCCAAGTACAAGACCAAATAAGTACTCTTAGGTGGTAGCGTCTGCCATTCACTTAATTCCATCCCACGTGTGTGTGTGTGTGTGTGTGTGTGTGTGTGTGTGTGTGACCCAGGGCTCAGGCTGCCAGAGAACAAAGACCAACTTTGCAAGTCCGGTAGGAGCTGATCTTTTGCAATTTCTCCACACTTCTCATATTCAGCTCAGAAATAAAAACCCAGGACACAGCACATTTTACACTTACCTCAGCTCCACAGATGCAACATTACCCAGCCCTTCAAATACTGCTCCCTTAGCAAGACGCTTAGCAATGAAACCACGCAGGTCTGGCTCCACTTCCGATGGCAGATTAGTACCCACCAAGGAGAGGCTGGACAAATAAAAGACACACATCTCTTACCAGTGGACTACGACATTCACACCTCATAAATCAGAATATTACTAAAAGCCAGAATCTCTTTAAGGATTTGACAAAGCTTTTTTTTTTTTTTTTTTTTTAAGATTTTATTTATTCATTTGAGACACAGAGATACAGAGAGAGAGAGCATGAGCAGGGAGAGAGGCAGAGGGAGAAGGAGAAGCAGGCTCCCTGCTGAGCCAGGAGCCCGATGTGGGCCTCGATCCCAGGACCCTGGAATCATGACCTGAGCCGAAGGCAGATGCTTAACCATCTGAGCCACCCAGGCGCCCGACAACGCTTTTTATAGGACTCCTGCTGGGGAGGCTTCTAGGTGTGTATGTCACCAAGTATGATCTACCTCATCAAATGGTTTAAAATAGTCCTATCTTTCCAGCTCATTCTCTCTAGTATACTCCACCGGGACCCCTAATCCACTGACCTTACCTCCTTTTCACAATACCATAATGCTATTACAACACCTAAAAAATTCCTTAAATCATCTATCATCCTGTCAGTGAACATATTGTTGTATTATCCCCTACTTCGCATCAAGTGCTAAGATTCAGTCATTCATTCATTTACGAAATATGTCTTAAATGTTTACCCTGGTACCACTCAGGGTGCCAGGTAGGGAGACATCAATGAACCAAAGAGACAACAATCCATTCTGTCCTAGAGTTTACATTCCAGTGTGTAGCAATGGAGCTCTGAAAGCGTATTGAAGGTGGGGAAAAGGAGCATTTTAGATTTCTTTATACTCATATGACCTTGAATATTTAGTGCAGTTCCAATCAAGGAACTAAGATGGATTGCCTCTGGCTTAATCACCAGGGGCACTCCAGTATTTGGATCTGCCCAGCCTTGAATGAATGGACTAATGAGGAAATCCAGATGAGGTTCCTAGGGGATAGGTGGGCTTGGTGGTTTGACTCGGGGAAAGCTGAAGTGAAACAGGGTACCCACTGATATCTACAGGACAGAGATGCAGAGAAGATGAAAGCACACCCGTGGGTTAGGGTCGAGCTGCTTTTACCTGAAATCATCACCAGAGGGCGTTTCTGCATTTGTGCCGCTTGGGCTTCCATCATCACTGTCCCCTCGCTGTTGTGCCAATCTGCACACCACAAAAGCAATACAGCTATCAGTTATGGGCTCTAACTCAAACGCAGTATGGCCCCCTCCCCGCCGGCAAGCAGGGTGGGGGTGAACAGTCAACTGAAAATGCTGCAAGTTAGGAGTGCGTGGATCCTCCACTGCCTACGTAGCCTCATGACAGGGAAAACCCATGAAACGGTGCGGACAAGAGCCCCTTCTCCAGGCCGTCTAAGAGGTGGAGGAAAAGCTAAATTAAACATCCACAAGAGTCGAGGAAATTTCGTCTAAAAACCAGACTTTCCAGGGCCAAGAGAGCCCCAGGAATGTCTGCCCCGACCGAGGAAAAGGAGGCAGCGAGAACAGAGGATAATCGGAGGGTGGGGTGGAGGTGTGAATGCGTGGGGCTAATGGGAGAAAGTGGGGCGGTAATTACAGGAAGGACGGGGTGGAAATTGACATTAATGAGTGTACGAGGCGCTGCGCCAAAGGGCAGGGGCGACAGGAAGGGGCTGAAAAGTCGAGAGGGACAGTTGGAGCGCAGAGGATTAGGAGGGGCGCCAAAGTCCAGGACGGTGGCCCGGAAGAACGGCGTGAGGCGAGGAGGGTCCTTAGGACCAGAGACTATATAGCTGGGAGAGGGGAAGAAGGGCTTTGCGAGAGGCCAGGGGTGGGATGCGGGGCCGGGACGCGGGGCCGGGGCGGGGCCACAGGGACGGTGGGCGCTGCACCTGCTTCCGCGGTAGCTGTAGAGACAGTAGTGGCTGCTGGGCGGCGGCTCGAGTCTCCGCTCCTCCGCGGAGCCTCCCTCCTCGCTGCTCTCTAGCTCCTTTTCATCCCCATCCAGAGATTCCTGCAAGGAGGGGAGCATCGCGGCGCCGGCCTCCGAGCGGCCCTGTGTTCCCGCCAAACCGCTCCCCCGCTGCCGTACAGTCCTCCGAGGCCGGGCTCGTGCGGCTCCCAAGCCTCGCGCACCTGCGTTCCGCCTGTTTCCCGGAGTCGCAGGCCAGGAAGCCGCTGTCGGGGGCGGGGGTCTTTACTCCCGGTAGGTGCTGGTGGGTGCGCCGAATTACCTCCTGCAGAATCTTTTACCATTTCTCTCTTGACTCCCTTTTCTCCTCTGGCTATCGTCTAAGACGTCTAGGAGACGTAATAAACATGGTACTATTAGCTAGCCACCTGGAAAAGGATGAATGGGCCCTCCTACCACCCTTCAAGAGCGTGGACACGCACTCACGTGCACCAGTTTGATAAAAGATATAAAAATTTATTTATTTGAAAGAGAGAGAGCACGCACAGGCGGGGGAGGAACAGAAGGAGAGGGAGACAAGCAGACTCCCTGCCCAGTGGGGAGCCTGACCCCAGGCTTGACTCCAGGACCCCGAGATCATGACTTGAGCCAAAATCAAGAGTAGGAGGCCCAACTGACTGAGCCACCTAGGAACCCCAAAATATATAAGAATTTAAAATGCTCCCTCCCAGGTGAAAACATGGAAGAATTTTGAAGATTCTTGAAGAAGGCCTTTCTAAATATTTAAAACACTTAGAAACCACATGGGAAAAGATTAATAAATCTGACCAGGTAAAGACTAAACTTCTGTGTTGCCCAAAGTCAAAACACAAATGACCAACTAGGAAAAATATTTGCAACATATATAATAGATGAAGGGCTGTCATTCATCAATAAAAAAGAAAGACAATAGGCAGTTCGCAGAAGAAATAAAAATGAAGAATATGTAAGTAAATAAACTGTTCAATTTCAAATGAAATTGGTAGTATATAGTACTGCTTTTCACCTGGCAGATTAGCAAACATTTGAAAGTTTGGTAATACCTTGCGTTGGGGTGTGTAAAGAAGCAGTCACTCTCCTAAACAGTTGATAGGAATAAAATTAATGCACGTGGTTAATTTTATTTTATTTGTTTTTCAGATTTTATTTTTTAAAGTAATCTCTACATCCAATGTGGGGATTGAACTCATAACCCTGAGATCAGGAGTTGCATGCTCTACCAATTGAGCCAGCTGGGTGCCCTCAATGCACATGGTTTCGAAAGGAATTTGAAAACGTCTATCAATATTTTAAATTCACATACCCTTTGACTATCAATGCAACACCAGGACATCATCAAATGGATACATTTATGTAAGTGTGAAAATACAAGTCCAAAAATATTCCTTGCAACATGGTTTATAATGATAAAAAACTAGATACAATCTGAATGTTGGTCAATAGAGTACTGATTATGTAAGTTTTTGGTACATGCAGTGGCCGGCAGAATAATCACCCCCCACACTCCCCAACGAAGATGTCCACGTCCTAATCTCTGGAACCTGAGAATACTTTACCTCACATAGCAAAAGGGACTCTGCAGTTGTGATTATATTAAGGAACTTGAAATGGGACGATTATCTTGGATTATCCAAGTAGGCCCAGTGTAACCCTAAGAGTCTCTGTAAGAAGGAGACGGGAAATCAGAGAGAAGGCAATTGTGATATATAGAGATGGAAGTGATTTGGGACCACAAATTGCACATTCTCTAGAGGCTAGAAAAGGCAATACGTGATTCTCCCCTAGAGACTGCAGAAGGAATGCAGGCCTGCCATTTCAGACTTCTGATCTCCAGGACTGTAATATAATAAATTTGTGTTGTTTTAAGCCACTAGATTTGTGGTTAATTTTGTTACAGCAGCAATAGGAAACTAATACACATGTGTACCTGAAGACTATGCAGCTATGAAAAAGAATGAACTAGAATATGTGCACATATAGAAAAACAATCCAGTATTTAAGTTTTTATCCTGGCAACACAATTGAAGGAGACAAGGTATACACATGGGGAAGGGCAGAAGGTAATTACTGCCAAGAAAGTAATGCAGACAGGGTGATCTTATGGAATCTCATTACTGGCTTTTTTTTTCTCCCATATTTTTTTGTTTGTGTTTTAAAGATTTTATTTATTTACTTGACAGAGAGAGAGCGCGCACACGAGCACACAAGCAGGATGAGTGGCAGAGGGAGAGGGAGAAGCACACTCCCTGCTGAGCATAAAGCCCAACTCCGGCTCCATCCAGGACCCTGGGATCATGACCTGAGGCAAAGGCAGATACTTAACCTACTGAGCCACCCAGGCACCCTGATCAATCTATAATCTTAACTGTTATTTTATATTGTATTCTCCTGCTTGGGTCTTAGAATTCTTTTTTTTTTTTTAATAAAGGTTTTATTTATTTATTTGAGAGAGAGAATGAGATAGAGAGAGCATGAGAGGGGGGAGGGTCAGAGGGAGAAGCAGACTCCCTGCCGAGCAGGGAGCCCGATGCGGGACTCGATCCCGGGACTCCAGGATCATGACCTGAGCCGAAGGCAGTTGCTTAACCAACTGAGCCACCCAGGTGCCCTGGTCTTAGAATTCTAAGAAAAAGTCTCTGTGTGATGCACAGAGGCCTTCTTAATTTAGCCTCTACCACCCCCTCTGACTTCATTTCCTATCATTCTCTCCCTTGCTCAGTCTGTTCTGGTCACATTTCCTGGTGTTTTTCAAACCCTTCAATTTTTTTTTCCCCCAATCTTTTTTTTTTTTTTTTTAAGATTTTATTTATTTATTTGAGAGAGAGAGAATGAGAGAGAGCACATGAGAGGGGGGAGGGTCAGAGGGAGAAGCAGGCTCCCTGCTGAGCAGGGAGCCCGACGTGGGACTCGATCCCGGGACTCCAGGATCATGACCTGAGCCGAAGGCAGTCGCTTAACCAACTGAGCCACCCAGGCGCCCCTTTTCCCCCAATCTAACAGTCTTTTAACTTGTGCTTCTGTCTGGAATGCCCCTAAATATCTGCATGGCCTTTTTCTTTCATATCATTCAATTTTCTGCACAAATGTCACCTCCTCAGATATTCAGAAAATGCCCTATACAAAACACATCCCACACAAACCTCTGCTGTCATCCCAGCAAGTCTCTATCCTGTCCTCTTATATTGTTTAGTTATTTTTCAGTGCACTTATCACTCCTGACATTATACATTTGTTTATTGTCTGTTTCCTCTACTAGAGTGTCAGCTTGCTCACCGCTAAAAGTCTCATTCTGAGGTACTGGGGGTTAGGGCTTAATTTTTCTTTGTGGGTGATTGCGTGGTGTGGGGGACACACACACAATGACACAGTCCAACCCATAAGATTATGCTATCTGTGAACACGGTTTTACTTCTCCCTCTCCAGCTTGCATTCCCTCCCCCCGCTTTTTTTTCCTCCCTAAGATTATCTCTTGCCACCAGCCCCATCACTGTAAGCTCCAGCCCTAACACCATTAGTGTTTTTCAGGTGCTCAGCCTCAAAGACTTGCATTTTTTGCTCCTTCAATGAGATTCTCTCTCTTCCACTTCCCTTGCTCCCACGGACCCTTCAGAAAACCTTTCTTGACACCCCAATGACCGCCAAGACCCTTGTTGGTGCTCCCCTCCAGAGGTCTGCAGCGCCTTGTATTTCCCCCATCACCGCGCTGACCACACTGCCTTGATTACTCATCTGCCACCAATCTGTGTCTTACAAGGCAGAGACTGCCACCTCTTTAACTTAACATGTAATAAGCAAATGCCCAGCACTTACTACAGAAAGGATTAATCCGGGCAACGAAAAATTAAAAGTTGGGCGCTGTCTCATTATTATTTGTAGTCTGTCCTTAATTACAATGATACTCTTTCCAGGTTTTTTTTTTTCCTTCAATTAGCGAGCGTCTCGGGGTACCTCGGTAGCCAGCTTCCTTAAAAAGGGAAACCGGAGGGATCAGCAAGCACGACCAACGAGGGCCGCGACAGCTTAAGAGGACAAGATGGCGGCCACACCTCAGCGGCCACGAGTCTCCCCCCACTCAGGGAGGAGGCCTGCGTCATGTGACCCTTCCCTGCCTGGCACCGCCTCCGGCCGCAGTGCCTGATGGTAGCAGAGCGGGGAACGAGGGCGTCAGCCATTTTGTGTCTGTTTCCTGTGAGACGCGGTGGTGGCCGTTGGGTCGGAAGAGTGAGCGATTTTTGCCTCGTTTTTTCTGTTTGGTTCCCCCCCCTTTTACTTTGTCGGTACAGCGCAGTTATGGGTCGCAAGAAGAAGAAGCAGCTGAAGCCGTGGTGCTGATATCCTTTATCGGTTTGAAGTCGAGGCCGAGCGGGGGCGCCGGTTGGTGGTGACTGGGACTGGGAGGCCTTGCTCTGGCCTGTGGCAGAGAGCGTCTGGGATCTAGGCCTCGAGGTGGGCGGCTTGGTGGCCGGAGCCTGACTTGGGAATGCTTTGCAGAGAATGAAGTCCCCAGGGCGGGAGGCTCTGGCAGTTGGGGGTCGTGGGACTCCGTGACTCAGGAGGTTCTTGCTTTGGTGTGAGCGTTGACTCAGCCGCTGGGAGGCGGCTTGGACCCCTCCACCAAGGACAGTGTCCCCTAAGGATATTCTGCCACACTCCGTTCTTTTGGTGACGATTCAACAAAGGGACTTTCTTCGAGTATAATACGCTGATTGAGTCTTTGGAGGATTAGGGGAGAGCTTCCGGAGTCTGTCACCCACTTTTTTCAGTTTTATTGTAGATTCGGTGGTTTAGTAAAGGCTTGTGTTAGTCGACCCTGGTTTCGGACCCCCCCCCCCCGCCTTTTTTTTTGGCCGGGGTGGAGGAGAACTAGCTTCCGCGTCTCACCCGCTGGCGCCTTAATCTTCAAGAAGCGTTCTCTTAGAGGGTGGAGTTTCTTGTGTCTATTACCTGGCTTTGTAAGACTAAAAATGCTTCTTGTTGCTTACTAAAACGTGGCGTCTTTTTAACACTTTTTCCGGAAGCGCTAATACACTTTACGTTAAAATTGGTTTTACTTAATTGTCTTGTACTCAAAAACGGTTTGTTACAGAATTACATTTATTTACATGCTAAGTTGAAAAAGTCACTAATTTTTTTTAATGTGCTTTTAGAAAAATCTGACGAGATAAAAATTCTCAGTTTTATTAATGTAACTTATCTGTGAGTTTCGATACATTCCATGGCAACATACATTTGTAAGGAGTTGCAGACAACTATGGATTGTTCATATGGATATGTTCTTATTCATTATGAGCTTATTTTTGGATCTAAATAATATATTTTAAAATTGAAGATATTAGGTAGATTTTTAACATTTCGATTTTTTTTTGTTTTCTATTTAATGAATTCTATTTTGAAATTCAGTCTTGACATAAACTTGGGGATTTTTTTAACATTGAACTGTCCAGTCCACAGTATGCATTTTAAATGTTTTAAATGTTGAAATATTGAATAAAAAAGTTAGTTTCACTTAAATCTTTGTTTAATGCAGGGATTTGACAAAACTATATTGCTGATTACTGAGATGTGTTCATTTAGAGGTCGTGGAGAGAGATTATGGGTTTTCCAGGAAACAGTAGAATTACATGGCAAGATAATTCCAAATTGTATAGTAAATAGCAGAAGCAAAGTTTGTATAAGTTACATTTTTGGTTTAAACTGTTTTTATATTTTAATATTCTTCTTCCTGTTCTCTTATATGACCATTTTTTTTTATAAGCAGTGTCATTATTATGCTGGTTTTGTACCTTAACAACATTGATCAGGTATTGTAATAGAGATTTTGATGATGAGAAGATTCTTATACAACACCAAAAAGCAAAACATTTTAAATGCCATATATGTCATAAGAAGTTGTACACAGGACCTGGCTTAGCTATTCATTGCATGCAGGTAAGGATTTTTTTTTTCTGTATTTAATTATTACCCCTTTGTTTGGAAACCATATGGAAAAAATTTTTGAATTTCTCTTTGACAGCTGTAGGGTTTTGTTTATTGCAGAAGATTAGATGTCAGTCAGCTTTAAAAAAAAAAACCTGTTTTTAGCCATTAAGATAAATAATTGATTTTTTTAATGTTCAGAGAAAATTTATGTTTATTTTTGAATTATTGATAATCTTTTTTATCCTAGGTTAGATCGGTGACAACTAAGTTGAGGTCCTGAAGTATCTCCTCTGTACTTGGGTTAGAGAACAAGTATCAGTGATGTAAATTTTGTAGTCAGGCTGACCAGTTCTAATCCTATGAGAATTAATACATAATTAGCTACCATTACTCATGCCATTGAAGGATTTGTTATAATCTGTTGCCTGGGGATAGGCTTACTTCTGTTATTCCATGGACCTCTTTTGGAATGGTAACATCGCGTTTCATTTGATAATTTTTGGGTTTCTGGAGTTTTTTCTCCTTCCTAGGTAGGAAGAGCTTTGCAATTTATATTTTTAATGATCTAGTAAGTGCCTTTATGTCTTATTCAACATTATTTCTTCTACTTTTGCCAATCCTAGAGCTGCCTGAATTTTTGCCTAATTGGACCCTAGAGGGATGAGAGATGAGCAAATCCCTATTCATTGGAAACTACTGTTGGTAGGAGGCAGGGAGGTAAATTAAAATAAGATGTTGTTTCCCTGAGTTTAAAAATAAGTTTATAAAAGAAAATAAGTTTATATAGATCCTTTTTACTCCAATTATATAACTATAACAATAATATCCATTCAAAAATATTTTAGATCCTGCTACATGCTAGACCCACAGTTTTCCACTGTGGCAATCACTAGTTACATGTGGCTACTTAAAAGAAGCTTAGGGGTGCCTGGGTGGCTCAGTTGGTTAAGTGCCTACCTTCTCTCAGGTCATGATCCCAGGGTCCTGGGATTCAAGCCCCACATCACGCTCCCTACTCAGTGGAGCCTGCTCCTTTTCCCGCTGCCCCCCCCCCCCCCCCCGCCGTGCTTTCTCACACTCTCTGAAATCTTAAAAAAAAAAAACAAAAAAAACCCCTTAATTTAAAAATTAAAAATTTAACGTCAGTCACGTTATAGCCACATTTCCAGTGCTCAGACACATGTGGCTGGTGGATAACTATTGGGTAGTTTAGATACAGAATATTACTATTTATCACAAAAAGTTCCTATGAGAGGGTATTGTGCTAGACGGTGTTTTAGGCACTAAGTATACAGCTGTGAAGAAGTCACCATTGTGGAGTTTAGATTCATATGGTAGAAGAAAATAAACTATTTAGGTTTTTGGTGATAAGTGATAGGGAAAACAAACTAGGTAGGGGGCATAGGGAGGGCCACAAGATAGGAAAGGCCTGAATGAGAAACTGACATCTGAACAGAGATGTGAAAGGAAGT